GCGAACAACGTGAACAGGTGAACGCAGGTGTAGGTACCTGGCGGATGAAGCCACCATGGATTGACCAGGGATGGTTGTTGGTTGCCGCGGCCCTCGTCGACAGGGGCGTACATCCTCCTCTGACTACGTCACGCCCGTCACTGTCGCCCCGTACGGCTGCACCCCCGACTGCCTTCGCAACCCACCGCTCCTCCCGGGATTCCTGTCACTTCCCCTTCCTCCACGCACGCAAGAGGGTTGCAAGGTTACCACCGGTACCCCTCTACACCTCGCCAGCCGGCCGGTCCATCCCCGCTTCGGCAACCAAACCGTACCCACCAGTATAGCCACCTCTGAAGCGCGTGTTCAAGGTGGAGGAACCAGCCGCCTCCACTGGCGGCCGACACACAGCCACCCCCGGGTTGAGTTTTCCTACGCAGGCAAGCAGCCAGCCACAGCCATCACTTTCGCTAGAAAGTCCTCGGTACGTTACGAGGGTGGCTTCGACCAGAGCTGACGTTGCAAAGAGTGGGAGCGTGATGAACTTCTCTCTTTCTCTCTCTTCCAATCCTTTATTTTTTACAATCCTTTTCGGGAATTTCGTTTTCTCTTTTTGAGTACGACTGCACATACTTTGTCTTGGATGATCAACCGAACGCGTAAGGAATGGGTCATGTATATATGTACATTTCTAATCTTGTTTATTTTGTTCAGTACAAAATATGTACCTACATATATACAATATACTTTGTTCCAATCATTCGACAGTAACACGTCGTAGGAGACTGATGTTTTTTCGTTAATTATTCTTTGCGATTTCGTAAATCGTTAAAATAATTTGACTAGCTTGTAGTCAGTTGAAAAAGAAGAATGGTATGAAACGATGAATCGACGAAATAAACACCGTTTCTACTTATGCAATCGACACAGTCGTAAACTGATCTATACGCTCTTTATTTAATTTCATTGGAAAAATAACATAAAATGAGAATGCGATAATATTGATATATAATTAAGAAGAGATGTATCATAAAATTATTTATTTTGGCAAAATTTGGCAGTTGCAAAGGAATTTTGCTCGCTGGTATCGAGAAGGACACTAGCTCGGGATCTGTCTAACGTCCACTAATGTATGCTGATGAAGTCAAGATACGCTCATGGGTGTTTTTCAATCACTTGAACCGTGAAGTGCAGGAAATGCATATATCAAGCGTGATCTGTTAGTTAAATTAACCAGGTGACAGAAAGAACGTTTGGCTCATTAACCAACAGCTCCTGACGCGTCAATACATTAATTGTTATATCTATACATTTTCAAGTCAGGAAAATGTTTCCTCATTAAATGATTTTTCATGTCCCTGGATTATTTATATTGGTAAAATTGTTCTACAACCGTAGGTATTAGATGTCGAGAACGAACGTGGCTCCTAATTACTTAGCATAATTGCAGTAACAAAATACATAATCCTAATTGGGAGTTCACAAGCGTGAGAAGAGTAGATATTCCAAGCACCTTAATCGAGATTTAAAAAATTTTTTAACTCAAAAGCGAGACACGTTCGACCAATATTGGAGCCCCAACGATTAAAATTCGACAAACATTCAGAGCGTGGCACACCACGGTCCTCACTCACCCTTATGCATTGTTTGCATCGCTACGATGGCTCAATAATTAAGGCAATGTCTCGCATAACATGAATCCTTGAAGATTTGTTATCCGGACCGAGTACGATCCATCGCCGTGCACCTGTGACCAGAACGAGGCGGAATACCGACGAAAATATTTCATCAAACAGTACTGACGAAAAATTCGGCGCGCCCTATCTACGTTCCTGAAGGTAGCAGCAATGGTTTGGAGGGGAGAACAACCTTGCAAGCTCTCACACCCCCTGGTATGCGTAGCTGCGTCGGTGGTAGGAATGAAATTTTGGAGGTTGGCAGAATCGGTGAGTACGGAGGGGATCGAAGGACGAAAAACCGGGAGGGCGACAGAGGGACGGGAGGGATGATATCCTCGAGGGCAGCGAGGGGTGAAAGGCGGCAGTCTGAAGGGAGCCAAGCAACCTGCACCCGGCAACAGCACCCAACCTCGGAAGGACTAATCATTAACCTCCTTTCACCCTCCCTAACACCATTCTAACTCGACCACCTACGTTTCACTTTCACCTGTGCCTCCTTTTCTCCTTCTTCAGTCTCCCCCTCCCTGCCTGTCCGCCCATTCACCCTTCTTCCTTCGGTGCCCAAACTCGCCCACACTCCACACAATTACGATTACTCGCGCTCGCTTTCGCCATCATCTTCATGGTCCACGGCTTCGGTTTCCTCGATAACCGAGCTTTTTTTCTGTGCAGATGAAGTTGAAGTATCGTATTTGTTTTTCACTCTCAGAATTCTCTTTATTTCTTTATGACTTAATATGATACAACAGCTTTTAATTATAATTAAATAGTGACGAATAAACTATTATTTTAATTGAATTGCTGTAACTTATTCGCAATAAGAATTAAAGCGTTAACCCTGTTGCTGAGCTAAAGTGTATGTAGCCATGTTAGTATAACTCCAAAATCGGAAGCTACGATTTTCAGATAAATAGAAAAAATGGATCAATAAATATGCAGATGCATTGATTGCGTTGGCATATGTACATATATCACTGTATATTTCACAATGCACATAATCGCATTCATTATACAAAACTTTTCTTATATATTTTTTATATTTAAAATTGTACAGCAATAAAAAGTAAATCATGTGAACGCTGTTGAATTACGATCTTCTGTTTAAATAATTTAATACTCGCACTGACGAACTTTTGTCATTTGAACAGGTATTTCAACATACGTATACATAATCGATATGATCGCCTATGTAGTCGATGTTAAACGGTATGTACAAGTGAATTTACCCTTCATTTTGTCAGACTATACACCGATTGCCGTTCCTCTACTTCTGTATCTTGATTTACGCGCCAAATTTCAATCCGATAAAATCTTCTACATGACAGAAGCGAGGGTGGTAAGACGTGAGAAGAGCAAACGACGCGTTAAATCGATTTATGGTATTCATGGAACAGAGGACAACTTTTGAAACAAACAGCTGATTAGATTGAAGAAATTTTTGAAATTAGATCTTCTGCTTGCTTCTAAAACTGAAAAATGTATATCTACTAGAAAAGAGCACATACATAAATTCATCTGGAACAACGTATCGGACTGCGTAGTTATGAAACGGAATAATGAACGAAGATGGAATTGGTGCAGAAACCTGAAGCGATGTCGTCCACGGGCCGCGGGTGCTCTCTTGTGCGAAGGTCGAGTCAGTGGCTGAAGAGGAAGAAGGGTGCGCGCGAGATAGTCGAAGAGGGGGACAAGAGGGGCAAGATGCAACGCACATCTATTGATTCTCCTTCAACGTGAAGGTCCGCGTGTCCCACTCACTTTCGGAAGCGCGTACACACTCGTTCGCTTACGCGCGCACGCACGCATTCGCGCGCTTTCCCCAATCCCGCTCATGTATGTACACGGACACGTGGCCGAGTAACGTGCACACACGCGCACACCCGAGTGCGTCCCAAGTGTTGAATGCAGGGCACAAAACGGTCCTCTCTCCTTACTTCTTTTTATCTCATTCTCGCTCATAGCCGAGAGAAGAAAAGAAAAGAAAAAGGGGAACTGGATTTTGCAACCTCCCTTCCGTGCATTCCTACTGTGAATTTCCTTGGCCGGCTGCATAAAGAATTAGAATACCGAAACGTGCGCGCACCGTACAGCTTATACGGAAGCACGAGATAAAAGGAAAAAGGGGATGAGAAGGGAGCTCGCATTCAAAACGTCCGGTAGCCGCGGTTGTCTGTGCACTTGCAACTTTACTTAATAAATATAAGAAGACGCGTGTTCAGAATCCTGGAGGGTAAGAGGTATTGCCTTTTACAAACAGTAAACCAGATCGCGACGGTCTATCTATGTATTCTGTAGACTCTAGATGTTGAATAACGAAGTGCACGACATCAGCGAGTAAAAACGACTTCGCTGCCTTTGATGGTCGGAACCAGATTGTTCCGTCATCGCATGTCATCGAGATGGGTAATTAACCCAGGGCAACCGAAAACTACGACTATAAAGCGGATATGTACGCGCTTCTCACTGTTAAACGCATAACGTGATACAAATGATTAAGAAATCGATGAATGACGAATGTATACATAAAATCGTAAAGTTTCATGCAGAAATATTCTTAAGAATGATGACAAAATTATGGGAATTTCAGCCGACATGATTCAAATAAATATTAATGTTAAATTGTTCAGTGCATAAAAATATTACGTAAATTAATAGGTTCTTACGTGACATCCAAAAAAACGAGTTAGAGATAACGGGAACCTCGATTTTAAATCGGTAATGGTTCGACGATGCCGCAACGAGAGAGCAAACACTAATTATCCATGAAAAGAAATCAAGGGACGAAGTTCCGATATGCAGGGACGACCTTAGCACAATAGTTTTGTCTTATTTGGCATATATGAAGCACATCTTTGTTTACAGAAATCGAAAGGCACGCGGTATTGCAAAAACTATATACCAAACTCTAAGGCGAACCGTTAATAGGATGCAAACTATGATTCGAATGTATGTACGTATACATGGAAGTCATCGTACTCGGTGGAACTAAACATGCAAGAACACAAACATGTTCCTGCTGTTAAGGTTACGAAAATAATTATTGCCGCAAGGATTAATTTCTACAACAAGGACATTGTACACCAATATCCATTCAACTAAAGATCAGTTATTAAGTTCCTTATAAAATATTCGACGAATAATCGATCTCTCGTTGTCATTTAAGTTTTACTACAAAAAATATAATTTACGAATCTTTCATTTAATTAAATTAAATTAAATTAAAACAATTTAAGCTACTATGAAACTGTGAATTATTTCAACCCCAATGTTATTAGATATACCAATTTTTTAAATACTAATCAATGGAATTGTATTGATATCAGTAAATCAACAAAAACTTACGTATTCGAAAATCGGTCTTTCATGCATTCGTTTCCCGCCTTTCGTCAGTATTCTTCTTCCTCTGTATCTCCCAAATGTTACTTCAATTTGTATCGTTTCTGATCGCCAACCCTTTCTCGATGTGTCACTAAACGCCGGGTACCACGCGCTCGGCTAACTCATTTTCAACAGTACATTTCTGTTCTCATTTTGAATTTTGGAATGTCAGTTCACGGAAATCACTCGTTGAGAAATCAGAGACTTTCGGAGCATTGTACACGACGACGCGGCGATGAGATGACAGCGAATGAGATACAACCGATTTTCGTTAAAATAAAAACACTCCCAACTCTTACATCCGTACGCTGCCAGCAGCGAAGGCGACTGAAGGCTGATTGTCTGTGTAAAGACGCCCTTGTCACACATCGAAAGCGAAATTTTGATTCGGCATAAGTGGCGCCGCCTTGTAGAGACCGACGCGTTCAGTTTGCATTCAAAATCTCCTCAGAATAGCATTTTTTTATTAAGGAAATTCACTCGTTGTTATTATTAGGGATAATATTGAACTAAATTATTTGAAATATAATGTTAAAAATACAATATTACCTTCGCTAACTACGAGTTATTGAAAATAACTCTTTGTTAGAACTTTATTTGAGTATACAAATAATTATTCTCTATTTCATTCATTATTTGGAATTTATATAAAATAATTTTTCAGTCTATTATTTTTATTTGATCAAATACTACTTAAAATAAAATTTCAACAATCTAATTTTACAGATGAGCCTTTCGGTTGCCGAGTAGCATAACTCAAAAATTACGGAAAGTGAATTTATTATAAAAATAGCAAGTATTAATAACTGATATTCTTAGTTGTAAAATCAATTTACTAAGTTTAGCTCATGCAAGCCTTTTTTTATTAGTTAATAATTAACAAATGACAAGGTAAGGTAAAGTAGAATTACATTTTATCGTTTATTTGTTCACCATTGTCTTATAATACACAGCGGTAATTCGAATGAAGGTTTCTTGATTCAATTTGAAAATAATCATCGAATTCATGTAAAACATATTCTCACATAAATTGTTTATAATTTGACTACATGTACTAATACATTAACCAACAACTACCATATCATCTCCAATGAATTCATAATCCGGCACCTCCAAATTTAATGGAGCTGGTCCTTTCCTGATCCTTCCACTGGCATCATAATGAGAACCATGGCAAGGACAAAAATAACCACCGAAATCGCCAGCATTTGCGATTGGGACACATCCTAAATGCGTGCATACACCCAAGACCACCAACCATTTTGGATCTTTCACTCGTTCAAGATCCGTTTGTGGATCACGAAGTGCTGCAACATCGACAGCTCCCTCCTTAGCAATCTCTTTTTCTGTTCTGTCATTACATTAAAACAAAAGTTGCATTAATGTTATGAAGTACATATTACAAGGAAATATATGGACGTATTTAATGATACTTGCCTGTGTCGTATAAAGAGAGGCTTTCCACGCCATTTGAAGACAGCACTTTTTCCTTCAGGTATAGCATTAAGTTTAACTTCAATTTTTGCCATAGCAAGTACATCAGCTGTTGCACTTAAGGCAGATACTGCACTCTGCACAACTGCCTTTGCTGTATATACACAACTAACTCCAGTTGCTATATAACAAAATAAAAGTCATGTTGATCCACAATTTTAGAGATTAGAATAATATGAAATATATAAAATGTATTTACCAGCAGAAAGAACATATGCAAAAGCTTTGCGGTTGCCTGCATTATCCCTGCTTCTGCTGGTTGGATCCTGCACAGAATCTTGCCGATAATCGGAGAAGTCTGGCCACTTAACATCAGTATGCGCTAGCCTTCTTTGTCCTGTTTGTAAGCTCACTATAAAATATAACTAGTCAGAATAATGTGTATTTATGTCTCATTATAAAAATAGAAACGATATTTGCAAAATATGGGAGGAAGATATATGGCATTTAGAATAAACTCAATTGGTATAACAGTAAGCTATGAAAGATGTATAGCACACATTGCATACTATTACATAATCGAAATACGCGAAATCAGTGTGTGTTGTAAAAAATTTGCAAGTTAATAAAATACTGTGTAAGTAAATGTTTCGAACCTCCGAGTCCAGAGCTCACACGCAATGATCCCGTAATAAGGGATTCTTGCAGACTTTGAATGACCTTTCGATCAACGCCAGGTTTGGTGACAATTTTCGCTGCCGGTAGCACAAAACCTGTTCCAGACACTGGTTGTATCCCACTCGAAATGACAGTCGTCGCCGATTTTAAAAACGGCGACAAATTCGTTGACTTTGCCACAACATTCATTTTTTTTAACTACGCACAACCAACTACACGGAACGACTTCATCGAACAACCGAAGTGCGAACACTTACGTTGTCAGATGTCTCTGCATGGTCTCGGCACTCTCGGCAGTGCAATCGTCATTGGATGTATAGTGTATATATGTATATATACGGCACAGAAGACTAAAGATTAATAATTGCAACATTTTGATAGGTATAAAATCTTTTATTATATGTGATGGATACAAGTAGAAAGAATTTA